GTGTGGATGTTCTCTACACTGTCCCTCTCCTGGTTTGATGACTGTTTCATTCCCGATGTGAAGAAATTCTGTGAGCAACGTAATGTGCCATTCAAGATTTTGTTGCTGCTGGACAACGCACTAGGACACTCGCCCCTACTGTTAGATCGTCACCCCAACGTAAAAGTGGTCTTCCTTCCTCCCAACACTACGTCTATATTACAGCCCATGGACCAAGAATTGATCTGTAATGTAAAAGCTGCATTCTCTGCTAAAAAATTCAAGCTCCTGAACAACTACACCAACACCAAGGAAGAGTTGCGTAACCTGAGTGACACCAACACTGATAGCAAGAGCGAAGACGACGAGAATCAACAGTTGGCAGAGCAAGAAGTACTTTTAAAACAATTCTGGAGAACATTCAACGTCAAGAAAGCTGTGGACTTCTTGGTGGAGGCATGGGATCAGCTGTCTGTAGCAACTGTTCGTCATGCATGGAGACATGTGTTGCAAGGCATTCCGGGTGTTAGGCAGAGTAAATCTGTGACTGGTGAGGTTCAGACTGTTGCAGTAGTAGTGGACCTTGCCAGAGAAGCTGCGCAAGTTTTACAGTTGCAGGCTTCTCCGAGACCACCAACGACGACATCCTGGAGGTGATAAGGGATCCTGATGTGACTACCGACGAGATGGTAGATGATGATGACGTCAGTGAAGAGGCAGGTGGTGCGTCATCCCCAGAAGAACGCCGCTTATCCCATAGTAATGTTAGGGGTGCCATCGAGTGTATTGAGAAAGTCAAGCTCCTCCTTTCCGACGACCCTGACGCAAACAGGTATGAAATCTTCACTACCCAGGTGTTGCAGACTATGGAGCCCTACATCAAGGTTTATTACGACAACATAAACACCAGCCGTCAGCAAAGCATAACAGAGTTCTTCGCCCGCAATCCACCACAGCCAGCCCAAGCCAGTGATAGTGACAGAGGCAGAGACAGTGATGATGACTTTGAGGGATTTGTCAGGGAGGCACTAGTAAGTGTGGATGACACCGATGAAGACTCACCTGAGGGCCAGTAGCCTGCCCTCTGCCTCGGAACCAGCCTTCTTTCCCCTACGCCGACCCATCTCTTCTACTAACGTAAGTGTTAACCCCAACCTTGTTTTTTCTAACCTAACCTCTAGTTTATTCTTCTCTTATTGACTGTTCCCTTCTATATTATGTGTGGGTGAATACCATCATAAAGTTAAGATGTTATTTTTAGTAAAATGTACGTATTGTGTCGGAAAAAAGTGGAGTTTGGGGGTCGGCCCGGTCTCTATTTCAATTAATCCCATATGTTATGTTGTTCACTTTACGCGTTTCTCACTTTACGCAGGCCGCCGTGGGTTGAATTAACCGCGTAAAGTGAGGGTTCACATATATATATGCCGGTTGACAACCCTTTATCCGAAATTCCGAAAACCGAAAAGCTCTGAAAACTGAAAGTTTTTTGTGGAGTAATTTTTTTTTTTTTTTTTTACAGGGATTAGCCCACCCAGGTATAGATCACTGACCCACATCGGGGCCTGGGGGGCGAAAATGTAATAGTAATATTAATTATATTAATAATAATAATTATAATAATAATACCTGTAATTATTCATAGTAAATAAAAATTTTAATTAAAAAATACACCAAAATAAAATAATAATGATAACAATAATACTGTATTAATAAAATAATAATAATTATAATAATAATAAAGAAATACAAGAATGAAAAAAAGATAAAAAGTGAGTAACACGACCTACAGTAGACCTATGAATTATTATTATTACCTGTATTATTAATATTATCATTATTATTATTATTATTAATATTATTATTAATATTATTATTATTATAATAATATTTTCGGCCCCCCCCCCAGGCCCCAGTGTGGGTCAGTGAGTTGTGCCCAAATGGGCTATAAAAAAAAAAAAAACTAACCATTCTGAAAACCGAAAAATTCCGAAATCCGAAATGCCTCTGGTCCCTTTTTTTAGTTTAACAAATTTATTGGCAGAGCTTGTAGTACAGTTTGCCTATTCTGAGTAATTCAGTCAGGTCTTGACACTGAGGGTGGTATCACTTCTCACTGTCACGCAGGACAGAGGTTCACACACAAAGAAATACATAATATTCATTAACAACTATAAATGTATATAGGTCAGATTCATATGGGTAATGTCACTGTTCACTGCCATGCAGGACAGAGGTTCGTACACAAAGAGTTGCATCATATTCATTGACAGTACATATACAGTAGTACCCCGCTTAACGCGGTCAATAAAACCCACAGGGTACCGTGTTAAGTGAAAACCGCTCTAAGTGAACAACAGAACATATGGGATTAATTCCAATAGAAACTGGCCCGACCCCCAAACTCTACTTTTTCCAACACAATACCTATGTTCTAGTAAAAATAACATCTTAATTTTATGATGGTACATGCACACAATT